GCGAAGCACTGGGATGGCGATTCTTTAGAGGCAGCTGTTAATGCAATGATGTGTCCGCAGGTGCAGGGACTGAGCTAAAATGGTTGAAAGGGCTTCCAATTGATGGGAAGCAATTATACAAGGCTGTACAGAGGCGTCCTAAACAACCAATGCTTTCAATAAAAGGCCAATCCATCTAGTGTTAGCAGCAACCATTGATGGGTGAACTAGCAACCGATAGATGCAATTCCAAGGCAGAAGCCTTTATATGAGTCCAGGCTACCCAATTATCACAGAATGGAGAGCAGTTGATTCTGAGAGAACGGAGAAGAGGTTCAGTTTATGGGATCAAAGCCAGAGATTGGCCTCCTGGACCAACCTCACGCAGGACAGAAAGTGGACACCTTCATCAAAGGCCTGAGTTAGGCCCAAAACATGAAGTCAGGACCAAGCAGTGGCCTTCACAGCCACCTTCGAAGATGGATTCGAAAGAAGAAAGAAGCAGTTCAACAGCTAGGTCAGTAGGTTCGTGGGTACCTGGAGTTCCAGACTGGTTTGTGATGCAGAACAAACCTAGGAAAGTGTCTACCCAGAGAGATGTTGTTGGAAACCAGGGTAGGATAGTCAAACCTCCTTTGGTGGCTCCAAACAATTGGGTATTACTTAAATACCCAAAAACAAAGGAACCAGATATAGTCCCCATGATTTCTAGACCACAAAGGAGGAAGATTCAGCGTAGGTACACTCAATACCAGAAGGACTTGAAAAAGAGTGGAAAGAGTTCTTCATTGGCCCAGACAGAAGGAAAGAAGAATCCAAAGTCAGACCATACTCCAAAACTAACTCTACAAGGCAAAACAGTTTGCAGTAGAGAACAGTTGGCCAAAGTTCACTCTGAACTAAAAACCACAGAGAGGTCTAGTCTAGCAGGTTTGGAGAAGGCATTGATGGAGAGTGATAGCGAGACAGAGAAAGAGGTTGGCTTAGGCCAAAAGAAATAAATGGTTAAGGAAGAAATGTTCAAAGCCTTCATGGCTGAACAAACATTTTTGGCTGAAAAGTCGGTCATAAAAGACCATTCGAAGGAGTTTGTTAGTAATGAAGTGCCAGAATGCAGCATGGAGGATGTTTCTGGAGTAACTGAACAAGGTGGCCAAGAGGAGAAACAGTCATAGCCAGCCATCCAATTTGGTTCAGTGTCAGTGAATATGGTACACATACTACCGCATGAATTCCAAGCTGGAGATGTGAACCAAGAGGGGCAAGAAATTGACCCAATTCCAGTCTCTAGTAAAGACTCACAAGTGAGTATGGTGCAAGATAATTCCGGAATGGCTACCCTAATGGAAACTGAATATGAGAGTGAAGAAGAGGTGAGTATCAACCTTTCGTATCCTTTTGAGTATCCCTCGAACTCTATGACACAGCATGTCAAGTCTTTGTATATTAAGGCCTTTTTCGATGGAATACAATTGAACCGAGTCTTGGTGGATAATAGGGCAGCGGTGAACTTACTACTGAAATCTTCTTTGAAGAAACTAGGGAAAAGGAATCCCAGGTTAATCCCAACCAGCCCAACCATTACTGGTTTCGCTGGAGACAGACAGATGGCGCAGGGAATTCTGCCCACCAACCTGAGTGTGGGAACTAGGGACTGTATGACGGCATTCTTCATGATCGACAGCAATGCTAAGTACAATGCTTTACTTGGCAGAGATTTGATTCACACCAACAAATGTGTGCCTTCCTCTTTGCATCAGAAAATAATGACGACCTTGGGCAATGGAAAGATAGAGGAAATTGATGCAGATCCTCAACCCTTCATAGCCTGTGCAGACTTCGCAGTGGCCAAATTGTATATTGAGGGAGTGACACCACTCAGTATACTGAAGAAACCTGATGGCTCAGCCGAAGTGACGGCTATTGAGGTGGTGACACACCTAAAGCACTTAGTTCGGGAAAGTGCTGATGAAGAGGTTGTCGTTAAGGATGACAATGATGCCTGGTTGTAGGCAAAGAGATGAAGCACCAGAAGCCAAGTCTTTGGCTCTAATTAAGTTTTCAATATTGGATGTAAATCAATAGTCTAGAAAGTGCAGGAGCAAGAGAAAGAAGCCATGATAATTGGTTGCAAGCAGAAGCAGCAACAAGTCAGAGTTTTGGCCTTTGATAAATACTGTGCATTGGACATTAAAACAAAAGTCCAGGAGATACAGGAAGAAGAAGCCTTGTGGATAGACTTTGTCTATGAGGAGGAGGGTAAAGATGTTCACTCAAAGAACCTGGGAGTAGAATACAACAAGGAGATTGCTTCAAAGCCAGAAGGAATCAAAGAAGGAGCTTCAGTAAGTTCTCAGATATAAGATCCCTTAGAAGAAATAAATTTAGGGGAAGGTTTGGTACAATAGCCCATTTATATAAGTGCTTGGTTGAATGCTCTTGACAGGAACCAGTTGTTGGTTAGTCTGAGGAGATATAAAGATTGTTTTGCATGGTCTTATAATGAACTACCATGATTGGATAAGTCATTAGTGGAACATAGACTCCCTATGAAGCCTAATTTCAAGCCATACAAGCAAAAACCAAGAAGAATGAGTCCAAAAGTGATTCAGAAAGTCAAGGAGGAAATTCTTAGACTACTCAAGGTAGGCTTTATTAGGACAGCCAGGTATGTTGAATGGCTATCTAATATTGTGTATGTAGTTAAGAAGAATGGTAAAATGAGGGTCTGCATTGATTTTAGAAACTTAAATTTAGCAACTCCAAAAGATGAGTATCTGTAAACACCCCATTTTTGACCGACCTTAAGACTCAGACGTCATCGGTTGAGCGCTCGGTGATTGGGGATGTTGTGCTCGTTTCGAGGTTTCAGAGTTCTTGGCCGAGAGCCTCGCCTTCGGACCTCGGGACCCTTTGTGCTTTGACTCGGTCCACAGATCAAGTCTTGTTTTCTCTTCTCGGAGGGAGGGAGAGGTCTTGTAGACCATCTCTCAGTGGTCGTAGACTACTTTTCGTGGTCGTAGGCCACTATTCCCGTTTGGAGACGAGTTTTCGGTTTTTCAGAGCCGTCGACCGCGCGCCTCGGCTCGGGACTGCTTAACATTCTCTGTTTGGCACGGTTTTTGGAACACACCTTGTTTCCTCTTTCTAGAGGGACACTGTGGTCCGGGAGACCACTTTTTTGGCCGCACGCCACTTTTAGTGCTCAGCAGCCAATTTTCGGGGAACCCGGCCGCGCGCTTTGCCCCCTAAACTCTCGTTTTGCATCCGTGTTGGTTCATTTTTGGCATGAACCTTGTTTTCTTTGTTTGAGAGGTGGTACAAGGGTGGGAGACCACCTTTTCTCCTTGGAGACCACCTTCTCCCCGCCAGCCAATTTTCTTGTCAAGAAGTTGGTTTTCTTAGTCTTTGGGCCACATTTACTAGTTTTCCACTAGACTACTGACTTGCTTTCAGTGTGGAGACCAACTATACCCTTGGCCAACCAGTTTTTATCTGGGAGACCACTTGCCTTGGTTAGCCGACCAGGGAAAGTGGTCGGTCGACCACCTTATCTGGTCGGCCAGCTCCCTCCTGCTTTGTCTGTCTGAGTGCATGGCAGCTGTGCCAGCTGGAAGGCACAGACTGGATCCTCCATACACGTGTATGGAGGATCTTGAACCAAGTTTTTAGCTTCTTGGAGAAGCTTTGGCTTTGAAACTCTATAAGAGAGGCCCTCCCTCTCCTTATACCAGGTTCTGAAATTTGCTTAAGGCAAAACATATATATCTCCCTCTATATCTCTCTATTTTGGCCCAAAAGATTGTGTTATTCTTAGCCCTTTGCACCGCACCTCATAGCCTAACACATCCACCATTGTTACTGAGTTCTTGGAGGGTCTTGAGAGGTCTCAAAAGTTGGGTTTTGGTTTAGAAAAGCTGCTGGTTTTGCTGAGTTTCAAGGGTAATCACTTTTCCCTCTTTTAAGCATTATTTTGATCCTTCTCTTAGCCTCATTTGCATGCTTATTTGAGTTTTGTTGTCAACTGAAAAAAGGTTCATATTTAAGTCATTTTCATGTTTGTTTAAGGCTCTTTTGGTGTTGAGGGTCATCTACCCTCTTGCATGCTCTATTTAGCCTTGTTTTGTGCCATGCCATAAGGTATTCGAGCTAGTCTTTGCTTGGCCTTCCAACCACTGAAATCCAGTGGATTTTCAGTGGTGAGAATGTGGCTTTGAGGGCCTAGATCAGAGAGGGGTGACCCTCTCTTTTGTTGTCTTGTTTACTAGCATTTTTGGCCTACCAAAGGAGCATATGTTTATACCATTTGGAGGCCTAGTTCAGGCACTTTTTGGTGACTTCTACGACCTGCCTAGGCTCTGACCATGGCTGGTTTGGTCCCCTTTTGCTTGCTTCTTGCATGTGTAGAGTAATCTTTTTCATGGCTTATCAAAGGAGCATGTCATTCTTGCATGTATTGGTCTTGTTTTAGTGGGTTTTTGGCCATCATTT